TTAACCATATAAGTGAATATGATTTGGAAACTCATTTATGTATAAGTAACCTAGCAATCAATATATATTATTTCTAAATTATATGGAGAGTGTACAGTGTGGTAGATTTAATTAGTCATTATTTTATAAATGAGAGGTGGGGAAGATTACCTGTAACCCATGGCCTTACTACATTTCTGCAAGCAAAATACTTCTGTAATGTACCAAGTGTCCAACCAGAGGTGAATTCTGTCACTAGAGATGGTGTCAGAATATTCGAATGCCAAAACTCAAATATATAATCTAAAAATAAGTTGGACCACCTCTAGAATATAAATACAAATTTTTATAGAATAAGATGTACAAATAAAAAATATAAATACATAATAAAGAAGTATTTGTAGTGATTGAAATTTGAATCCAGGCACCACCATATAAGATCTATGAAATCATGGAAAAATTACTTCAGACTTCTAAGCTTCAATTTACTTCCCTGAAAGTTGGTATAACAGTTACTCCTGCTTGTAATACTTTTTGATATAATAATGGCAAATAATCAAAACAAACTCTCACACCAGAGCCTGGCATATGTATGTCCAATATGCACATGGAGAATCTAAATCACACAATCCGTCTTAGCACCTGATTCCAGCAGTTCCTAGACCCAAGGAAATAACTGGGAAAGGCTGCTCTGGAAGGCAGCAAAGGACACATTCCTTCAAGTAAATGTGAAGTAAAAGAAAATACAGAAGAAACTACAAATCTTATGAGGCTGTGTGTGGTATCCTCAAATTTACACTTATATTTTTGGCCTGCTGTGAAAAGCATTCCAGACATGTGTGTGGACAGCCTGTGATGAAGATGTGAGAATAAGTATCATTAGACTGAGAAGACAATCCAGTCCCATCCAAGTAATGAAGGGGAGAAAGTGGAGTGAACGGTTTCAGTAGAAGGGATAGGTCTGAAAGCTGATTTAGCTGTGGTGCACCATGAGCTTAACTTGCATTTCCAGCTCTCACAGTTCCTCTTCTTACCAAACTGGTGTAGAACTTTGAACTCTAAAGCTTTGATTCATTTATAATTAAAATAAAAACAGTAACCCACCTTTGAAAATCAAATAAAATAACAAATTTACAGCATTCAGCATGCACAGGGTCCAATGGATGCTGTGTTATCGAGTTATGTGATTACAAGTTGAAGTAATAAGGATAGCCGACGATATGAAACATAAGGTGAAAGACAAAATCAGTCCTGTATATGAATAGCTGTTTATAGAAATAAGCATAAACTGTAGACAAGATCAGCTATATTTTGTACAGTCATATGGGATATCATAGACCTAATGGAATTACTCTACACAGGCACATATTGGATACAACAAATTATTAAAAATTAAGAAACAACAGACAAATGAAAAAATGTCCAACATCACCAGTTACCAGAGAAATGCAAATCAAAACCACAAAAAAATCACATCACCCTAGTCAGAATGGTTATTACTGAAAACCTAAGGGTAACAAGAACTGCAGAGGATGGGGGAAGAGGAGCACACTTACACAGTGTTGTGGAAGTGTCTATTAGTACAGTCATTGCAGAAAATGGTATGGCAGTACCTCAAAAAAGTAAAAAATACAACTACCATGTGATCTGGTTATTCTAACACTGGACAGGATATGAAGTCAACATGTCAGAGACATCTATGCTCCCAGGTTTATTATAGCACTTCTCACTATAGCCAGGAAATGACAACAACCTATGTATGTGGCCATCAGCTGATGAAAGGATAAAGAAAATGTAGTAACTATACATTATGGAATATTATATAGCCCTAAAAAGATGAAAACCTACTGGTGACAACAACATGCATAGAACTGTTGATCATTATATTAATTGGAGTAAACCAGGCACAGGAAGAAAAGTATCACATGATCTCACTCATTTATGACATCTAAAAATGCTGTCATAAAAGATGTGAGTGGAATGGTGGTTACCAGAAGCCAGAGTGAGTAGAATGGTGAGAGGGATGGCAAAACATCAGTGAATCAGTCCTGAGATGTAGGTAGATAGAAACTAGAAGTTGTGGTGTGCTACTGAACAGTAAAGTGAACATAGACAACAGTAATGTACTGCACTTTAAAGAAAAGATTTGAAAGTTCTCACCATATAGAAAATAATAAGAATTTGAGGAGATAGCAATGCTTAACTTTATTTAAGTGAATATATATATACTTAAATGAATATATATGTAAACTACATAAATATATATATATATATGTGTGTGTGTGTGTGTGTAGTGAGACATGGTATGGTATGCCATATGTACAATTTTTATGGTTTTACAGATCATTTAAAGAATATGTAAGAAAAGTAACTAAGCAAATACTGACTAAATTATTAACTTCATAATATTTGGATCTTTGACTTAATGTTATTCTCTTTTGCATGTTGAAGTAGAACAATCAGTATAACATACTTTTATTCTTGGAAGGCAGGTATGCTAACGACTATACCACCAGCGCCTCTCCATACTTTTATTCTTTATGTTTTGGTGTCACAGCTTTTACACCTCGAAATATTTGTTCTAACAACTGCAAGGATTTTTGGTATAACCAATTTGTGTTTTATACATAGAAATTCTCTCTTAGTAAATGTGAATTTTGTTTAGTTGTATACGAGTATCAGTGAAAGGTGAAGAGAACATAAACAAGACTATTTCCTCCCTTTGCAGAGAAGACTAAATACCAGTGTGAAGAGGCGGGAGAGAAATCCATGCAGGAAGGGAACCCGGCCACTGCCTTAGGTTCGGGCCGCCTTGGCCCTCCCTGACAGATGTGTTTCTCCACAGCCCCCCTCAGCTCCCTGGCTGCCCCAGCTCCTCTCAGAGTACCCTGAAGCACTTCATCCGGTGACCAAGGAAGTGGACTTCTTGGGCCGCCACACCCATCTTTAGAGAAAGTTATTGTCAGCATGGACAGAGGAAGGCTTGGATGCAAAATCAGCAGCCCAAAGTCCTTACGTCTCAGAATCATGTAGATCCAAATTTTACTTGTGGCCTCCAACTTACACACTCTTTGGTCTAACCCAAAGCTGATTCATCTCTTTAAGCTTCAGTTCCTTTATGTATTAAAAATGCTAGTAATAACAACGCGGAAACATCCAATTTATAATTAATCTATATAGTAATAATTGATAACATTAAATGTCATCATGTGTGTCAAGATTTAATTCTTTTAGTTTACAAAAAAATGATTCAACTTTTATTAGACTACAAAAACTCAAGGTAATGTTTTCATGATAGAAATTATGCTTGTCCAATAGTGAGCACTCAATAACACACCAAGTATCTTATTGTTACCGGATGAGAATGCTGCACTTCTGCTAATTCAATGGGGAGAAGCTTAAAAAAAAATAATCTGTGGGGCCAGAGATTTAGCTCAGTGGTTTCGCCCCCTGCGTGCAAGCACAAGGACCTGAGTTTGATCCCCTGTACCAAAAAAAAAGAAAATAATCTGCTATGCAAGCATTTTGATGTCAATCAAAACTAATAGTTTTACTATTCAATTTGCTCTATTTTAGTAAATAAGAAGATGAAATATTGGTTTTTAAAAAATACTTAGTCTACATTATCTTATAGAAATGAAAACATACAGAGCACAAATTCAAACACTAGTAAGATTTTAGCTTGATATATGGAGCAAAAATACCTAAATCATTGTACACTAGAGCACTCTGGTAATATCCCTTTTAATTTTATTCAAGACATTGTTTGGTATTGGAGTATTGAAAGTAATTTATTATAGATATCAATTTTTATTTTCTGATATGGACTTCATTGAAATTTCCCTAGTAATTCCTCCTTTATAGAAAATCTCCTTCTCAGGAAGGCTATGAAGAAATTGCTGACTATTTGTCATATAAAATACTTACCTTATTTCTTCTATTGTCTAGGAAAAAAATGTCTAAACAAACTAAATTTAACCCTGAATTTTTACAGTAGGAAGAATCCTTGGCAATGAAACAGAAGTGAAAATAACATATTTACAATTACTGATCCTTGGACAAAAATAAAGAGCCAAACCCAAAACACAGAGGTATTTTATAGCTACAGGCAAGTGCAAAGGAAAAGTGAAAGAATATGTTCACTCCCCAAACTGAAGACAAAGATAAGGAACTATTATGACTTTCAACTCTCATTTGCAGTGTTTCTAGCTCAAAACATTGCCACATATCATAAGTTTATGTTCTGCAGCAGTAATGATGCACTTTCCACTGTAACAGCACGGAGAAGTGAGCATATGAAAAAGCAGCAGGAAACTGTTGTGCTGAAATACAACTTCTTTTAGGAAAAAGACTTAATAGGAATCTCACTGTGCATAAAAACAAGTTATTTAGGCAGAGGTAAATTGGCATTTCAGTCATTTTTGTCTCTTTGTCGTTTGGACACGAATATAATCTCACATGTGAATTGAGTTCTGACAGCTGCTTCTATGACCAAGTGATGGTCTATATTATTAAAATGAAACCATGGCATCCAACAGTGATCCTAATGTATTCAGAAACCTTTCACCTATGTTAGCATATGTGTGTTCCACAGACGTGGACGAAATGTCTAGATATGTCCTCTTGGTATTATAACAAGAAATACATTAAAAGAAAGACTCAGGAAAAATATTATCCACCTTTCTCACTTGAACTGAAGTATGTGAATTGAGCTTGGCTTTCACTTCAATTTAATAGAAATCAAACAAGATATGATATTTTTAAAATATGTTATTGAAGTACAATACATTTGAACTAAGTTATCCAGTAGTGTACTTTCAGTTCATTTCCAGTACACTATTGAATTTTCAGATTACAATAGCAGTGTATGTTTATGTAGGCCTTGACATTGTTATTATCCTTGACAAATACCAAGAGTCAAATGGCAGGGCCATGAGTAAGGTATATGTTCAGTATTTTAAGGTATTGTTCAAGAGTTTGACAAAATTATTATGCCATTCTGTTTTTCAATATCAGGTTATAAAACTTCCACTTGTTCCAGATTTTCATCAACACTTCATGTTGTCAAACTTGACTTTCATCCATTTTCGTGAGTACGTAGCAATGTTCCCCTGTGCATTTAATGATTTAATGTGTATTTCCTGGATGACTAATGATGTTGAGCATTTTTTGATCTACTCATTGGAGATACATACATACATATATATATATATATATATATATATATATATATTCATTCTTGTGAATTACCTGTTAGCCATAAGCATATTCCCACTTTCAAATTTGGTTGCTTTTCTTCTTCCTATTAAGTTACAAGAAGTGTTTATACAAGAGGTGATCATAATATATCATAAATATTTAAATTTTAAAGGTTTAGTATAGTAAAAGACATATTGCCATTAATCCCTCTCAAAATTCTCTTTCAACACATTTATCCCAATGTTTTTACCACTTTTTGAAGCCATTCTGAAAGTTCTCTTTTGTCAGTGTCATCACAAATATGGTGAATACTGATGCCAATTGTTATCCAAAGAAAAGGCAGGCTCAGAAAAATACGATGATGTCACTTTATCCACATTACACACCAGATCTGAAGCCAGGTGATTTCTGGCTCCTCTTCAAAGACTAAATGACCATAAAAGGTAAACACCTGGAATTGACTCAGGCAATGGAAAGAGCCAGAACAGCACAACTAAAGACACTCTTGAAAGAGGACTCCAGAACTGCTGCAGAGAATGGCAAGAATGATGGGATATTTGACTTCAAAGCAATTAGGATTATTTTGAAATAGTGTTGGTGGCATTGTATCTTTTACTGTTGTTTGTTTGTTTGTTTTTTAATTTATACATTTGTAGTACCTTTCAATCATGCCTCATGTGCTCCAGATGTAAGCTTTTTACCAGAATTATTATTACAAATAATTTCTTCTGGTCTGTAGCTTGCCTTTTTCCTCAACACTCACATAAACACTGAATTTTTAAAATTGGAATTAAGTCCAGTTTCATAAGCCCTATGCTATTTTAAACACTGTTTCCCGCAGCGCTCCCTAGATCAGAATGTAGGCATTCTGACTTCTCACTCAATGCAAGCTGCCAGGTTTGGTTGTCACCTACGACCCTTTCTCAGTCACTTCCACCTGATCAGCTGTGCCTCACCTGCTTAACCAGAAAGACACAGAGCTCTCTTAGCAGCTAACACTCAAAGGACCGGTGAATCCATAGCCTTTCCATGAAGGTATTAAGGGAAGAGGAGCTGAAACGGCCGGCTCTATTTCTTTAGGCTTTGCCCATGTGATTAGGTCCACAGTGATTTGCATTTGTGTCACTCACTGGTCAGAAACAAAACCTCTTTAAGTCAGATAGGCAAAGGATGCTTTAGACAAACCAAATGTTACAGTTTGAAACAAATATAATTAAAGAGTCCAAAAGAAAGAATGAACATGAGTAAATAGCACAAAACAGTGAAGAGAAAGTGCACCGAATGCCCTCCTATGAGCAGAAAGATTTTGCATGGTTTGCCATAGAGTAGTGGAATATGAGAAAGTATATATGTATACATAGATACACACATGTGTGTGTATCTATGTATATATTCTGACATATATAACACATATATGTGAGATAAAATAGATCATGGATGGCATAGTTATAAAACATAACAACCCAGGAGTTAGTCTATGTGGACTAACAAGTAAATCATAAATGTCAGGCAATAATTTTCACTAACAGACATACAAACTTAAATATTTGATGGTTTATCTTCTACGAGAAACTTAAATTATGAACAATGAGCAAAATAAAAGATAGATAATAGGAAGCAGGGAGGTAGATCTTCCTCAGAGATGGAGGGAGGGGAGAGGGAGGGGTCAAAAGAAAGTTGAGATGCGTCAAGTACTTACACTAAATCCACCAAGGAATGCAAACATTATGTACTGTAAGCATGGACTAATAAAATAAAACGAAAGGGATCATTTTCATTTTAGTGCAAGATTTACAAACAGCTAATAATCAAACTCCTTTTTTATTAGTGCATGCTATTTATACAGAATAATGGGTTTAGATAACATCTTTTGTTCATCTTCACCCCCGTGGCTTCCCCAAATCTTGCCTTCCTTCTTCCCCTCTGACCCTCTTCCTCTTCTCTGACAACCTACTTTCTACTTTGATGTCATCTTTTTTTTGTTTTTTAGTTGTTCCTAGATTTTACATGTGACTGAAAAAATACTTTTTTTCCTCTGAATCTGGCTTATTTTGCTAAACATGGTGATCTCCAGTTCCCTACGTTTCTTATAAATGTCATGATTGTGTTCTTCTGTATGGCAGAATAATATTCTGTTGTGTATACATGCCACATTTTCTTTATGCATTCATCCACTTACAGACTCTCAGGCTGGTTTCATAAATTGGCTGTTGAGGAGTGTTGAAATACACATGGATAGTCAGTATCTCTACACTATGCTGACTGTAATTTCTTTAGGTATATACCAAAGAGTGATAAAGATTTTAAGTTAAATTTATTTTTAACTGACAAATAAAGACAAAAATTGCATATGTTAATGGGGTACCATAGGATTTTTAGTTAATATTTTATTTTTATCGATATATGTTCACAATACAGAATGATTACATTTCTCATTTGGAAGTTTGTAATGTACACAATGCATCCTAATTCATTTTTTTTTTTACATTCCATTTTCTCTGCTCTTTCTCCTCTCTTGGTCCTCTCCCCTTTTGCAAAGATGTGTCTCCTTGTTTCTTATTATCTGCATTTCATTTTGTTCATCAATTATTTATGCTTTGGGTTTGTTATCTAACAGAAACCACACTGTAGTTAAGCTTAAGCTTGTGTTTCTCATTTGCACTGTGTATTGTACTCAGGTTAAATATATCTCCGTCCTCACATATTCATCATTTTAATGATAAATTTTTTTAAAATTTATTTTTTCTAATTTTTTGAGAAATGCAGTGCACAATTTCTATCTGCAGTCACCGGATTGTTGAGTAACGCATTGGGACTTGTTACTCTTATCTAACTGCAGCTTAACTTCACCCATCAGCTGTCACCCTTTCCCCTTCCCTCCTTCCTTCTACTCTCCATTCTCTAGTAACAGCCAGCTACTCTCAACTTTCAGGAGATCAGATACTTTATATTTTACACGGGTACCAGCTCATGCAGTTCTATTCTTTGTGTGCATAGCTTACTTCACTTACTATAATGACTCTGGTTCCATCCGTGCTGTCTCCAGTGACAGGATTCCCTTCTTTTTATGGCTGGATAGCATTCAGTGGTGTGTAAGTGCCACACTTACCACACTGGCTCTCTCCATCCATCAGCTTGTAGACACTGAGGTTGTTTCCATATCTCAGCTATTCAAAGAGCACTCCCACAAATATGGCTTTGCAGATCCCTCTCTGACTTACGTACTGAATTTCCTTCTGACATACCCAGGGGTGGGACACATTAATTAATAACCCTCTAACACTTGATGCATAATTATACACACACTCACACAAACACACACACACACACAAATAAATGGCAGCTTCCAATAGGAGTTTTGCTTTTACAAAATGAAAAAGAACTAAATTAGAGGAATACAACTGTCATCAAATATGTGAACCACAAACACAGAAATTTGTCATATGTAACAAATAACTAATTTATTTATATAGTTATATTCTGACAAGCTATGCCATACACTTATATAATAAAACATTCATATTCAAAGAAATTAAGACAAAACTGGGTTACAATATAACTTATAAGTATTTTTAAAAGTATTAAAATCTTAATGTACAAGATGAGTTAAAATAGGGTGAAGGCAACACATTTATATATAAGGTGTGATTTTGAGTAGTTTATTTCAAAAAAATGTTCAAAATGTGTATGATAAAAACTTATAATATTAATATTGTGTGTTTTATTAGAATTGATTTCCACTAAGTGATTTGAAGGAAAAAGAACTAAAGCTTATATAGATCCACATCCATAGTAATAAAGTCAAATTTAATAACAAAAATTTAAAACCCTGAAAAATGTAGCACACCTGAAATAATATTTTTCCATTTAAATATGGACACACGTGTTTAATGAAAGTGTTATATGAGCTGTGTGAAAATAATGGCTATCAAGACTGGTCAGAGAGTGAAGATTTTGTTATTTATAAAGCAATTTCAGTTTTTGTATCCGGCACTTAGGCACCTAAATAAAATAGTCAAGTGTACATGGTAGAGTGGATCCTAGAGGAAGATAGGCAGTGATCGCCCCACCACGTATGAACAGCGTGACACTAAGTATGCTATGTACACTTTCCCTACGTCCTGGCTTTTTAATCTGTAAGAATGGAAACAATAAGTAAACATAGTACTCTGGAGCTTTTTGGAAAATATACTTAATTATTCAATCTATCAGGAAGACATGTTGATCAATCATTGAGATAATAAAATTAACAATCAAAATGCATTTTCTAATATAATTCATTTACTGTTTGCACCCAAAGTTGAATACAGATATTCAAATGACACAATTATCACAAATATATGCCATATATATATATCTATTTATATATAATATATATCTATATATATTTATATAGTTTGTTACTTTGGCAGAAAAAAATGTACTCTTCAGGAAAAAAATGTTCTCATGACTTACTTTTATTTCCCCAATCTATAGCAGGGTGCAATTATTGTAGTTTAGAGGAAATATACTTTTAATGAATGATATCCATTAAATAAGAAATTTTCTTGCCCAAAGTGTCCCAGAAATGAATTTCTTCTACTCACTTTGACTTAAGCAAAATAGTTCTTTAAACATCCACCTCCTTCACTATTTCATGAAGTGACGTTTCAGCCACCATTTCCTTGGTGATTGATTTCGATGCCTTAAAATTAATAACGTTCTCCATGAGTTGTTCAATAGTTATGCAAGCACATACCTTGCAATATAATAAAAATGAAGTGTGAAATTTTTAACTACATGAAATACAAACTCATTCAGAATAAAAGTGGAACATAAACAAAAATCAAGTAGTTGCTGTTATCAGGTTATGGAATAACACGTCAACTGTTATTATTTCTTTCTTGAGTGTTATAGTATCTTCATCGAAAGAGTAAAGAAGTGGACAATAGGATAAAGGGCTGTTAAGGTACTCATAATAAATCATGCCTCTCAGCTGCCTGTGTAGTGTGTTGTACTATAAAATATTTTTGGCATAATGAAAATCATAGGGTTTGAAATACAATTTATTTTAATCTTTTGGTGGTGCGTCCCCTGTTTACTTTACTTTTTAGGCATTATCATTAAATGCATTTTGCTGAATAAAATAAAATTCATATAATATTTTAAGTACATTGCTCCTTTTGGTCACTCTTGTGGACTTGCTATGGGGCAATATAAAAATAATGATAATAGGAAAATTTCAGATTATTTACTTTTCCTTACCCAGTTCCAAAAGCCCATATCTCACTCATAGAAAGTGTTATATATGTTTCAAGATGACCTTAGTAATTTATTTTGCAACCATAAGGAAAATATTAAAATTGTACTGTGATGATCCATTTAAATTGTGAAGGATGACAAAATCCGTAAATTACCTCATTTGGACTTGATTTATTATGTGTGGGAAATTATGATTACTGATGTAAGAGTTACTTTGAACAGAGTAAAGTGTTTTCTTATAAAAACTAATAGTAAATAAATTAAATATTTTTAACTAAGCAGCAGGAAAAAATTCTCACACCAAAAGGAAGGTACATTAGAACCAATAGTAAATTCTAATATATATTTCCCTATATTTTTCATGATCTATGTAATATTAATCATGCAGTTTTTGTACAAATTATCTTTTTCAAAGATTGAGCACAAAATATGGAGGAGGAAAAGTTCCACTCTACCTAAAATTCAAAATATCTGGTTAACACTAAGTTACATTTCTAAGGAGAAAACTCATTAGCTGTATTTATCAGATTAATATTCCATGCCATTCAGTCATACTCAAGAGAATATTTTTTGACTTCTTCCTATTAGTTCATCCCCATAAGGCAGTGATTTAATGTCTTTTCAGGGCAATTATTTTACAAGAATAAAATATTAATTTATAATGTCTGTATATAGCTGTGAGATATTGTCCTTTAGTGAACAGTCACGTGAGACACAAATATCTTCATCTTTTCTATCCATTCAAAGAGGTCTAGCGACACACATCTTCCTTAGACCATCTTGGCAACAATTTTCCAATGATGTTTTTCCAAGTCCCTGACTATCAATTCAAATGATTGGTTACATCTCATGAATCCATGTAGGCTTACACCTCAGGCAAAATGAACAATGGAGTTTGCAGCAGGATTTGGACAATAGCTAAGAGAAATGGAAGAGAGTTGTAGTTTACTGTGAAGAAAAGATTATGAGAAAATGCAAAGGATCCCAGAGGTACAGCCAAGTTAACGAGAACACAGTCTGCCAAAGCACATCAGGACAGATCTTGAAGTTTGGCGTCAATAAACCTCTGTACTAAGCACAGCCATGTGCTCTTCACTTGATTTTTACACACACACACACACACACACACACACACACACACACAGAGCAGTTTCATGGGAGGAGATCCTTCCAAAGAGATGGCAAAAATTTTAAGAAATGGAAGGGCAGTCTCAAAAATTTGACTACTGAATTTCAGTAGGCCTACCTGAATTAGTTTCAGGCTCAGACTGAAGGAAAGTTTGTTTCTTTTCTTTGGTATAGGTGTGTGTGATATAAAGGAAACCCCAAGTATGAAAAACAGCCACTTTCCCATGAAGGCTAAAGCAGGCCTTGGCTTGGAGCAGCCCATTACTGGCTCAGTGAACTGGGAAAATGCAGTCACCTCTTCACGCAGTCAGATGATGACCCCTACGCCATGGGGCTGGTGTGGAATATTACATGCTACAAGGTAAATAAAATGCTTTTCCAAATATAAAAAAATGCACTCAGAAAAGTATCATCTCTTCTGATTTTGTAAATTTTCACTAGCCATTTTTCCCATGATGAAATAAGCACGTGTAGAGGCTAATGTAAACCACATCACTACTACTCTGTTTTAGACCACAGTACTGCATGCCTCCTAAAACACATGCCTCTGCTTACCTCACTCTAAGGCATGGAGGACTCTGGATTTCTGGTGACTTTCTGTTTAAAGGTAAAGAGTTTATTCTTGGCACTGAGAATTTACTAGGCTTAGAGATGATTAATGAAGTTATTCTGACCATCACAAATAAGTACAGAATCCTTTATTTTCCATTGAGTTTATTGGTACATTTTAGGTATACAGTATAGTTATATTCATCATTGGGATCTTGTACCTTTACATGAGTATCTTGGTTCGTATTTTTTCCCCTTCCCCTGCCCTCCCTTCACCCCC